CAAAATAAATGCAACATCAAAAACAATAAAACATATAAAACAGAAAGGTACATAAACAGTTGTCAATTGTTTTTTGTGGGAATTTTGGAATGACATACATAGTAGAATGAGAGAGAGGCAGTGTCTGTGAGATGCAGTGGGTAGGAGGGAGGGAGGAAGGTGAAATTATGATTTAGGTGGTGATAAGAGATAGTGTTGGTGATCATGGAGCTGGTGGTGAGGAAGCAGAAAGGTGCGGTGACTTACCTTCATAATAGTACAGTAGAACATTCTTACGTAGGTAGTAGGCAGCTATCAAACAGGGAGGTACTACCACCTGTGAAGATATTGGAAGCATAATGTGTTGTCTAATGGTAGACCCTGCTGCCATATGGCATCACGAAAATTGTGACCAAGTCCCAGGTTGCTGATCTGACTTTCTGCCTCATTTACACAATTGCAGGGTCTCAATTGTTTCTCTTACTATTGACAACACAACAGTCATATACAGTATTGTTTCTCAATTTTGTTTTGTATTTCTTTATGGTTCTTTATTATTATTATTATTATTATTATTACATTTTCGCCCCCTAGGCCCTGATGTGGGTCAGTGACCTGTGCCTGGGTGGCTGGGTTAATCCCCCCCCCCCCCAAAAAGTAGAAAAAAATGGCTTTCGTTATAGTGAGGATTCCTTCGAAGGATCAACATTCAATGGGGAATTACTGTACTGATGTGTTGTATATTCCTGCTGGAATGACGAGTCAGCTACAGCCACTTGATGATGGCATTAACAAGCCCTTCAAGGACAAAAAGCACAATATGAAAATTGGATATCAAAAGGTGACTTTTACCCCTGGACAGCAGTAATCATAAGAGTGATAAGAGTAGTGAAAGTAATTATGGGGAGTGATAAGAATTAATGTTGTTGTGTGCGAAGCGAAGAGACGCTCGTGTCAAAATAAGGAACAAGGCGTGTATATGCTGAATTGGCTTGACATTCACTCAGGCCCCTGGACGATAACAAACAGCAGTGCACCGCAACTGATCGCCCTAAACACACCAGCGACTTTGTGGTCCAAGCCAAACCTGCAACACGTAAGTGTGAAAATATTGTGTTTCATTGTGGACGTGAAGAATATTAATTGGGTAACTTCTGATGATATGCTACTTATGTTGTGTTACTATTAAGATAATGTACTCATTTGTGTGCTAATATTAGGTAAATGTATTCATATATAATATGTCACTGAACCTTCAGTTTCCCTCTTGTAAATTGATTATTTGTATTTGACAGGTTTCACCGAAATAAACTGTATCGGGTTGACGTGGCAGGTTAATCTGCTTTCCGGGCGGTATAAGTGACCATGACTTGATAAAAAGAAAAAGGATAGTGGCAAAATGGGAAGGAATTACCCATGGAAGTAATTGTACATTCGTTCAAAAAGTTCTGTATCTGTAATGATTTAGATTTTAGATGGAAGTTTAAATTACTTAATATGGGGTGATGCTGCAGATTGACCCACTGGAAGACGAGGATTCTGGTGACAGTTTTAGTTCAGAACAAGAAGCTGATGCAGATACATGGCATATTTTAATTTTGGATAATGATTTAGAATTGAGGAAACTATATCAAAGAAAGTAAGATTTCAGTTCTCAAACTTTAATAAGCTCAAATGATGTGATATAAATTTTTAGAGCATTACAGTATAAGTTTTTGTTTTCATTTGGGTGAAGAATACCCGGTATGGGTTAAGAGTTAATGTTGCAAAGATGAAACTAATGGTTGCTTCCAAATTAGAAATCCCCCCAAAAAATTATGGTAGGCAACAAGGAACTTAAACAAGTGGAATATTTAGTATATTTGGGAAGTAACATAGTGGTGATGGTAGATGTAAAAAAAGAAGTCAAAACAAGAACAGTTTAAGTAAATACAGCATTAATAATCTAAGAGACTCACTAAAAAAAGGATATTAACTTACATTTGAGAAAAAGGCTTCTGAAATGCTATGTATAGTCAGAACTGTTGTATGGGTCAGAAGCATGGACACTTTTAGCAGACACCAGCAAGAGGTTAGAGGCCTTCAAATGTGGTGATATAAGAGAATGTTTAAATAAATTACACTGACAGGAAAACAAGTGGAGTACAGTAGAATCCCAGTTATCCGGCATCCCGGCAACCGATAGATTCAACTAATCGGCACCAAAATGTAATAATAATAATACTGTCATAATAAAATAAAAATTCCTCCAAAATCAACTACTGATATCCTAAGTTTCAATACTGCACACAATGGGGATGAGTTACCATATTTACTATGATAAACAATAAAATCAATACATAGCACACTGTATATGTATCATTAAATACAATAGCATATGCAGTATTTTTTTACAATACAAAAAAATAGCTCTATCAACACTCACACCATCCTCTGGGTGACATGATCCACTTCAGCCAAGCAATCAATCAGCTGACTCGCTGATGTGTGGCTGCTGCTCTGCGCTGTATGTATGCCACGACATCACATCGGGAGGGGGCACGACCACATAGTTATAGCCCACCGCCTCCCCACACATACTCACCCAAGCTCCAATTTTTTTTTTAGTTTTTTATTATATTTTCTTTATTTATAAGCCACATTATCAATATAGAGAAGAATAAGTGTTAAAGAAGCTTGTTTTTCTGAGACACGAATTTGCGAGGTCAGCCTGTAGCACTGTGTATTGAAGAATTTATTAAGGGATCCTAAGAATGAGTTTCAACTAACCAGAAAAACTCTTCATCCATCACCTCTTAATCCCCATAGGTGCCGGATAACTAGGATTCTACTGTACTAAGATCGGTAAAAAACTTAAGAGAAATACTTGATATTTATGGAATTATGAAAATGAGATACCTGTACTGTACTTTGGTCAAATAATTAGAAATGAAGGGATAACAAAAATATTCCTGGAAAAAATTGAGGGCAGGAAGGCCAGGGGAAGGCAGAGACCAGGATGGGTGAATTAAATTAAAAACTGGGTCCCCAGAGATGTAAAAACCAGAAGATTGACAAAAATAGTAAAAAAAATCATTAGAGTGGAGGACTGTGGTCACCAACCCTTAGACATGAATAAGATACTTTTGACTGATTGATGATTCATAAATAGTTAACTGGTTGAAGGTTACTAAGTGAGTTGCACTGCTACATTGGTCAATTTCTTTCATTTTTTTCTTCTAAATTTTCACTAAGTAACCAGCAACCATTGAATTATAGTGGTTGTTCATGGCACTAACTTTCTTGGCCTATAAAGGCACTTATTGTTTATTCACTGTACAGTACGGTATGTCCATAAATTGTATGACCCATTGTAAGATGTAACTACAGGTATCCCTCGCTATACGAACGTTCCAGATACAGGTACAAAAATTTGCTTATACAAATTTCCTAAATTACCACAAAACCTTCCGCCGCTTTTATGAATTTGGGTCCCGGCAAAAATTCAAATCGCTCACCTCTGGGAGTCAGCTGGGGCGGCCGCATCCCCCTTACGCTCTCCCTAACAGGCTGAGGTAGGCGTTATGTTATGGTTATTTTTTAACTCATAATTTTGGATAAACAAACCTTTTTTTTTTTCAATTTACATGCACACACAATCCCATGTACAGAATGCTAAAAAATAAATAAATACTTATTTCTTTGAGTGTGAGAGGGGAGGAGGAGCGTTGCTAAGAGTTAGGAGGGTGGAGCAGCTACGCGTGACACAGCCAGGATATTTTATTAATTTTTTTTTTATGTACAGGTTGAATCTTGATTTAACAGAACTGGATTTACCGGCAACTCGCATTTAATGGCAAAATTTATAGATTGTGTGTTTTTATTTATTTAATTTTTTTTTTAAGGCCAACCCATAATTTCCATTAGTTCCTCTACCTGCTTACCACAGGATCAGTCTTGGGCATTAGTATATAATATTGTAGCATATTTATCAGAATTTAATAAATATTATTGTACAGTACTGTACAATGCATCACTATATTTCCTGGTTTATTCACTGATCAGTTCTCTTAAGTGCAAACATAGCCAAATTGAACCATCATGTGACACAGATCAGCTGGGCAGTAACCAGCTGACTTTGAGACGTGTGTGTGTGTGTGTGTGTGTCAGTATGTTGTAATGTCACATCTGGGGGAGGAATCTGGTGGGTGGGGGACTGCCGAATGGTGAGTTGAGACGCATTTACTGCTCAGAGCTCACTGCCTCCACACATGTTCATATCCCACACATACGTACCCTTAAGTTTTCTTATTATACAGTTTTGTATTGTATTTATTTTATTTCTCAGACATATTATAGTGATGTAATTTTTACTCTTTTGTTCTGTACAAGAGAAAACTGTTTTACTGGGGTAGACTATAATATCCCGAGTGATTTACGTCCCATGGGAAGGACATTTACGTGTTCATTTACATACTCGGACTTGAATTATATGTAGAGAAAACAGTTATTTGTCAAAAAAATGTAGTTTTAGTGCAAAAAACTTACTCCATATAGATATCAATACCATCTCTGAAACATTTATAATTTCAAACCTAAAATGTCATGACAAATAAGATAATCTTGATCGCTTGAGGCAATACCCCCCTACCAAAGATACAGGTAATTTGATTTAATGGCATGGTCCAAGTCCTGTTGATGCCATTAAATTGAGGTTCAACCTGTACAGTATTAGGTAGTAAATTACAGTAGTTATTAACTGCTTGTCATTACTCATTAGTTAGGTTGGTATCTCTTGTTTGTGAACTGATTTTGTTTTGGGGTTATTTTTTGTTGTTGGGAACTTAACCCCATTTTTCCCATTTGTTCTGTTATTCGAGATACAAAAATTCACTTAAAGAATGTTTTTTTTGGGGGGTGGGGTGGGGGGGGGGTGGGGATCTAACCAATTTGTATATTAAGGGATACGTTTACAGTACCTAAAAAACATAATACATAGATAAAATGCAGTACACATGCAGGAATTCTATTGAGACAAGAAAAACTTAAGAGTTGTTCATTAACTACAGTATAATAAAACTGGTGTATTTAGGAAATCATGGAACTTTTTATGTCTTCTGCCTCTTGGCCTTGGGCTCATCAGTGGAATCCTCAGAAATATCATCAGTTTTCAGGTTGTTGAAGTACTTAACAATACTGTCTTCACCAGTTCTCTGAGAGAAAAATGTGGAGATAGTTAAGTCTGGTTGTTATAAAGCTCATTAATCATACAGCAACACTCAATTAATTACACTACTCAAAATATCTAGAATAAAATAAGAATAACTTTATTTAAATAATGTACTGTAAACTCTTCATAAGAAAAAAAAAGCAAAGCCACCAAATTTGATTTATCTAATCGTAGTTCCTTTGCGTAAACAGTAAAGCCTCGAATAACGACGGTAATGTGTCCTCCAATATTGCAGTGTAAGGTGAATCATCATATTGCAAATCAATAATTACCATTAAAATATAGCAATAATAATGACATGCGTTCCCAAGTGTGACCTTTTCATATATTTTGTGTGGCTTTTTACCCTCTTTTCCCTCCAAAACAATAAAATTAATGAAAATTGCAAACTATATTCTCTAAATAATGTTTCTGAATACACCTTATAAAACATAAATGAATAATAATATGGTCACATAAGAGGAGATGGGCTGCCATTGTTTTCATTAGTGTTTACAGGCGGGAGTCCGGGATGATAGTTCTACACAAGAAAATGAAGAAAATAAGACCCTGGGTGTAGCTGTAGTAAAATTATTGTAAAAAAATTAATATACATTACAGTGGTCCCTCGGTTAACGAACGGTTCGATTAACGAAATTTCGGTTAACGAATTACCTCCCATAAGAATCTTCAATTTGGATAATGAACAAAACTTCGATTAACGAAATACTTACGACAAACACGTTTTGTTGTGAGCATCGGCTGATCAGCTGATGGGTTCGTCTGCCAATTCAATAATCTGTTCTATGTTTACATTCGTTTCCAGTGAAGTAAATATCAAGAAAGTTGTGCTCTTTAATATTTTTGCATTTTTTATATTAAAATTATTAGTAATTGTAAAATTTAGTTAACATATTGATAATATATGCAGTACAGGGAACTATTTTTTTTTGTGCACCCATCAGCCGCTTGACTCACCCAACAGGCATCAGTTTGTTTTTGTTTACAGTGGGGTGGAATAGTTGTGCATTTTTACATTAAAATTATTGGTCATTCTGAAATTTAGTTAACGTATTGATACTGTAATATATATCGCAGTACAGTGTTGATTTAAATAAAATTATCTTGAATAATGGTGTAAATTGAATTGGGTCCTAAATTAACCAGGGTCTTAGATATGAATCTTCATTAGTTGAACCGTCATTATTGGAGGCTTTACTGTACATGTAAAAAGATCAATTTATCAATTCTAAAACAATATGAAGGAGACTGTTTCACCTTCTGGTATGTAGAGCTTGCATTTGAGAAATCATCCTTAGAAAGTCCGACTTTATTCAACACAGCCATCTTGGACTGAATCATTGGCCAAAGATAGTCATCTGCAGTGCCTCTGGCTACAAGATACTGGACCATCACGCAATCTTGCTGGCCAATTCTGTGAGCTCGATCCTCAGCTTGTACAAGATCCTAAAAAAAAAAAAAAAAAAAAAAAAAAAATTAAATAAATCGTTTATATATATATATACGGGTTGACTATAAAAAATCCGGCAACCTCGGGACCTGAGGAGAGCCGAATTTTCGAAAATGCCGGAAAACTGATGGTTATATTTGCTGTATAAGTTTAACAGAAGTCTTACACGAAAGGTGGGAATATGCGTGCTCCCGAACTGGACGTACTGTGTGATTTTGTCATCAAGGCATGGAATGATATTAATGTGGAAACAGTTATCAAGTCTTTTAAAAAGTGCGGAATATCTAATTCAATGGATGGTATGGAGGATGATATGTTGTGGGAGGACGAGGATGAAACAGAAGCTGAAGCCATGTCATCTGATTTGGAGTTTGATTCTTATGATGATGCAGCCATAAATGTATCTCAGGATGTACTTGAAGAACTTATGATGTCAGATGTTGATGATGTGGATTTTGAACGTTTTAAATACATGATGACGTCAGTAATAATCATGTGCTAATAACATTTTTAACTTGTTGGGTAATTTGCTTTTAAAATATTGTGAATTAGTAAATTAAATGTGTGCATGTGGATATATGTATACATACAGTATATATAAATATGTTTGTGTAATAAATGTATGTAGTAAGTACGTAATATTTTTTCACTCAAATCCTAATGAAACACTACTGGAGAACATTCCTTTGTCGCAAAACAAGTTTATAAATTAAAGTAAATAATTACAGTGTGTTTAATATATTACAGTACCTGTATATTATAAATAAATAAATAAACAAATAATTCGGTAAATCTATTTCAAGTAAATGGAAAATAAGCAAACAAATGCTATTTACCAAGACGCTTCCCTCTGGCTCAGGGTGAGATGTAGGGGTAGATAACAAGGCTATTTATAGCCCGTCTTTGTGTCTGAAGTGGCCAGTACCCTAATGCACCATAAATAATTCATTTAACATTCATTTTTTGTACATAGTATATTCAGTACATGACTGCGATTATAAAATAGTGTGAATGAGTATATATATATATATATATATATATATATATATATATATATATATATATATATATATATATATATATATATATATATATATATATATATATATATATATATATATATATATATATATATACAGTAGTACCCACTTAACGCGGTCAATTGAACCCACAGGGTACCTGTTAAGTGAAAACCGCGTTAAGTGAACAACAGAACATATGGGATTAATTCCAATAGAGACTGGCCAGACCCCCAAACTCTACTTTTCCCGACACAATACCTATGTTCTAGTAAAAATAACATCTTAATTTTATGATGGAACATGCACACAATTAATACTTAAGAGAAATAGAGAAATACAGTCGCCAAGTTAATGCCCATTCAAATAATGGACTCAACTCCCTCCCCCTCTTCTCACACTAAACTCCCTGGCTCTTGCCTCTCTGAGAAATTTTGGGGGAAAACCATTAAATTTTAATAAATAATACCTCAAACTAAAGTTAGGATAATATAATTGACATTGCTGGATTCCTTGTAAGACCAGGAATATTTTGAATATAAATGTCATATATTTTGCACAAAAGATAACATATTAACTCAGAGTAAACATTATATCTAAAATTTGTATGTCTAATGAAAAATATATGATGTTTATATTCAAAATGATCATCAAATTGTAAGAATTCCAGCAATGTAAATTATATTCTGGCCGGGTAATTTGTATGAATTTTATGAGCTAAAACAAATATCTTCAGTTAATAAAAAAAAAATATTCTTCACACCGTGCCAGATGGTCGGTCGGTCCCTCCCTCCCCCCACCCCCCACCAACCCTCCCTACCAGATGTGTGGGAAAACCAGAATATTTACCTTTTCAGTAATAAATAATACCTCAAACTAAAGTTAGGATAATATAATTGACATTGCTGGATTCCTTGTAAGACCAGGAATATTTTGAATACAAATGTCATATATTTTGCACAAAAAATAACATATTTACTCAGTGTAAACATTATATCTAAAATTTGTATGTCTAATGCAAAATCTATAATGTTTATATTCAAAATGATCATCATATTGCAAGGATTCCAGCAATGAAAATTATATTCTGGCCAGGTAATTTGTATGAATTTTATGAGCTAAAACAGGCAGGCAGGCAGGCAGGAGGGTGGAGGGTGGGGCGAATCTAAAAATAGGGTCTGAGCGGACACTCTGCGCCTATACGTGGAAAAAGCCCATGTTAAGTGAAAGTTCCAGAGCCGGTATACGTGAAATCCGCTAAGCGAAGCCGGTTAAGCGGGGTATTACTGTGTATATATATATATATATATATATATATATATATATATATATATATATATATATATATATATATATATATATATATATATATATATATATATATATATACACGTATATACCCGTGTATAGCACGAGTTCTTAAGACCAAATTTTTGGGCAAAAAGTTGGGGGTCGACCTCTATACGGGTAATAGTTTCGTTAGGTTGAAAAATATTTACCAGTAACTACCAGTAAACAATGGAAACGATGCACCAACGCACCACCCGCTGTGAGTGTCGGTACAGTTGCCAGGGCAGATCTCTTGCGTCATCATAGCAAGCCCAAAGTAGCCAAATGCATGGTATGGTATGCACAGGAGTATGTAAAACATAAAGTATTCATTTTTAAAAGTGTATTTATAGATACATAAATTTTTGTTAATTAAATTTGAAACATCAATATGATGTGAGTCAGGTCATCTACACAGTTTCAAGTTTCAAAATTTTCCTTTTAAAATTTTAAGTTACCGAGTATTTCTTTTCCCAAATCGTTTTACAATACTGTAGGTAAAACAGTATACTATTGTGCAAACCCCACAGAAAAAAAAATTAACAAATGGAGACACCAAAAATGTAAAAAAAAAAATGCTGTCTGACTTGCAACACTGTTGGTAGGGTCAGGTGGTTCTAACGGTACCTGCCAGGACCCGGTAATCAAATTTATAACAATATCTAACCTCAATTACTGTAGTTTATCTGATGTAGGCAATATGAAGTAAAAAATACCAGTTAAAGTGAGAAATTGGAAGAGAATAAACAAGAAAGATGTTGGGCTATTTTTGGTAGGGCTGAGGGAGAGAGTACCAGCTGTTTGGTCTTTTTTGGCGGGAGAGTCACGCAAATATCCGTACTAGTATTTGTTTGGTGTCTTCTGTATTTTTAAAAATGAATACTTCTAAATTAAAAGTACCGTAACATTGTATTATATAAAAACTTGTCATATTTCTGGAAAATAAGAAGCAAGAAAATAAGAATACACCGGTAAACACAATTTCAACGTACGCTAAAATTAAAAGCTGCTTAAGAAGGGCCGATGCAAACACAAAGCCTCCACGACCAGGGCTCTGCCGTATCAGCTAGACGGTACACGTGTTTTTCGAATCGTTTTCAGTTAAAAAACTTTTACATCACAAGTGAATTAGGATAGAATATTATTGTAATATAACAGTTTTTAACTGAAAACCATTCAAAAGGCGATTACGGTAACATCTTGTGAACGAAAGAAAGCGAGTCATTGTTTTTGTCACGATTTTATCCCACTTTCCACTATAATACGTACGTCATTTCAGCAAAAATATTACATTTCCATATTCTCAGAAATAAATAGTAGTTTTGCTGAAACGTGATGTATTTCAATGTAAATTAGGATAAACTACATGAAAACAAAAGACTTTACCTAACCTTCCGATGTTCAAGATATGTTACTCGTATTTTTAATAGTTTTCGGTTAAAATACTGTTATATTAGTGATATTCTATTCATACTGTGGTTGATATAATACCTTCACGGAAATGTAATATTTTTTGCTGAAATGACATATGTATTACAGTGGAAAGTGGGATAAAATTGTGATGAAAACAATGACTTTCGCTTTGTTTCGTTCAAAAGATGTTACCGTAATCACTTTTCGAATGGTTTAGTTAAAAAACTGTTGTATTGTATTACAATAATATCCTAATTGACTTGAATAAATATTACGATACCATATTTCTGAATATTTTCATTAAAATCCATCAAAATCATTTTCCTTGTCATCGTCTGCAGCACCAAACAGCTTCTCCCAGTCCTCTCCTTGAACAGGGCTAGAGGGAACGTGTTTTTCGAATCGTTTTCAGTTAAAAAACTATTACATCACACGTATATTTTACCTAAACTGTGCCTGAATGAATATATTCTCGGAAATAAATAGTAGTTTTGCTGAAACGTGATGTATTTCAATGTAAAATAGGATAAAATACATGACGAAAACAAAAGACTTCACCTAAGCTTCCGATGTTCTTGAGATGTTATTCGTTTTTTTAATAGTTTTCGGTTAAAATTCTGTTATATTACAATGATATTCTATTCATACTGTGCTTGATATAATACATTCACGGAAATGTAATATTTTTTCCTGAAATTACGTACGTATTACAGTGGAAAGTGGGATAAAATCGTGACGAAAACAATGACTCGCTTTCTTTCGTTCAAAAGATGTTACCGTAATCGCTTTTCGAATGGTTTAGTTAAAAAACTGTTGTATTACAATAATATTCCCTCCTAATTGACTTGAATAAATACTTGAATGGAAATATACAATATTTTTGTTGAAACTACCTGCGTTTCAGTGTAAAGTGTCGTAATAATAAATGGTAAACAAGTTTATAGGACGTAGAGTTTTTCTGAAGGTTTTGTTGTTCCATTACCCTCAAAATCTTGGGTCGACCTATAAACGAGGAATATCATAAATTAACGATTTCTTGGTCATAAAATCGGGGTCGACCTATATACGAAGGGGGGTTATAGACGAGTATATACGGTATATATATATATATATATATATATATATATATATATATATATATATATATATATATATATATATATATATATATATATATATATATATATATATATATATATACAGTTGGTCCTCATATTACGCGGTTAATGTAACCCGGAGGGTACCGTAAAGTGAGAAACGTGAAATGGAGTCCGGGCCGATCCCCAAACTCCACTTTTTGACGACACACAACTATGTTGTAGTAAAAATATTATCTTAACTTTATGATGGCATGCACACACAATTAATAATTAAGAGAAATATCAATAATATTAGGTTTTTTAACACTTACATTAGTAGAAAAGATGGCTGGGCACACGGGGATGGGCGGTTGGTTCCGAGGCAGAGGGCAGATTATTGGCCCTCACCTGTATCACTTGTATCAATTGTATCACTATCCACCACAGAGGCTTGCAGGGCCTCTTTGTCAAACCCCCCAAAGTTCATATAAGTCCATATCCTCACTATAATTATCACTATCACTGACTTGGGCCGGCTGTAGTGGGTGGCGGGTGAAGAACTGGTCATGTTTTGATGACTGGGCGACCTTGTGCGCACCATTTTCGCGCCTCTTACACAACATGGCGGATGGCGGGAGGTTTGGATCCAAAAATGGCGCGGCTTGCCAGCCGCTCTCCGCGTAATGGGGTTCACGACCGCGGAATGTGAAAATGTTAGGTTCTGGCAAGGCACCGCGTTAACGGTGAAACGCGGAATGCGGGACCGCGTAATATGAGGACCAACTGTATATATATATATATATATATATATATATATATATATATATATATATATATATATATATATATATATATATATATATATATATATATATATATATATATATATATATATATATATATATAAATATGTTTGTGTAATAAATGTATGTAGTAAGTACATAACCTTTTTCACTCAAATCCTAATGAAACACCACAATTAGGATACGGTGGTAGCTGTTGTATAAACAGTCGGAACAAAGTCCCACCACCGAGACGAGGGAACACTCCCACCACCGACCGCTGATCGTCTCGTGCGAAGCAAGCGTATAAATTAAAGAAAACACTTGCAGTGTGTTTATTATGTTACAGTATATTATAAATAAATAAATAAACAAATAAATCGGTAAATCCATTTCAAGTAAATGGAAAAATTTTACTCGACACCGACATTAGTTCCAGTTACCGGTAAATAGCAGACGCTTCAGTGACGTCACTAGTGTTTACACTATACCAGCGGGTAACATTTGATGACATTACTTGAAGTGAATTGGCCTTATTTTAAAAAACCAAGGATGGTTGGTAAAGGACTACTGAGTCAGTGGGTAAGTGTCACATTTGGGGTACTGGTCTTATACAGCGAATAGAGCTCAAAAGCTACTTTTTAAATGGAAATTTGGGGGGCCGTCTTATGCACCCCGACGCCTTATAGGCCGAGATATACGGTATATATATATATATATATATATATATATATATATATATATATATATATATATATATATATATATATATATATATATATATATATATATATATATATATATATATATATATATATATATATAATTAGCACCATGCTAGAAGCAATACACTAAAGCTAAAATTTCACCAAATCTTTTCCCCATTGCTTCATAAACTTTGTTGTTTTCTTCCTTCTGTCATCTATCCTTTCCCACTCTCCCTATCCTCCCTCTCACTCTGCCTCTTTCCTCCTGTCTCTCTCTTTTCTATCTTGGTTCCACAATCTCTCATTCCTTTGCTCATACACTATCCCACTCTTTCACTTACCCCAGGATTCCAAAACAGCTCAGCAAAGATGACCAGATTAGCTGAGGTTAGTGTAAGTCCAGTATTAGTAGCTGTGATGGACAGAACTGCAACTCTAACAGTACTATCTTCCTGGAACCTTTTGACTAGTTTCGGTCTCATTTCTGGTCTAGTTTTGCCTTCTATGCGAATATGCCTGCAAGATGTCATGACAATAAAATTGGTTTTAACCTGCATTAGTACAAGTAAGTAAAAAATAAAGTTAATCAGTTAGTTTGTCAATGAGTCATAATTGCTTTTAAAGACTTCAATAATTTCATCAACTGCAAGGAAAAGTATGATAACTTAAAACAATATCTTTTCAACAAAACAATAAACCTAACTCAGTATTAGATGGATGGAAAGGTATTAATTAAGCACAGTGGAAAATAAATAACATACTGTACCAATAAAACACATACTGTACTGTATGTTTACATGGTTCAACAGTGGATAAAGGAGTCTGAGGTGGAGTAGGGGAGTAGCTGAACAGATGATGTGATTATAAAATATACTTCTACAACAGTACTGATCCAGTCAAATTAAAGCCTCGAATAACGACGTTAATGTGTCCTCCAATATTGCAGTATCAGGTGAATCGTTTTATCGCAAATCATTAATTACCATTAAAATATAGAAATAATAATGACATGCGTTCCCAAGTGTGACCTTTTCATATCTTTTGTGTGGCTTTTTACCCTCTTTTCCCCAAAAACAATGCAATTAATGAAAAGTGCAAACTATATTCTTTAAATAATGTTTCTGAATGCACCTTATACAATATAAATGAATAATAATATGGTCACACAAGAGGAGATGGGACGCCATTGTTTTCATTTGTGTTTACAGCCGGGAGTCCGGGACAATAGTTCTACACGAGAAAATGAAGAAAACAAGACCCTGGTTGTAGATGTAGTAAATTTAATGTAAAAAAAATTAATATTTATGTGTTTTAAGTAACGTTATTTAATGTTAATAAATGGAACAATTGAAGTAGCTAACCATTAATGTCAAAGAAAAAAAAAAGAGATGGATTGGGAATGCCAACATATACGTGCACATTTAAGGATACCGCATCATTTATCTTAAGAATATGTACAAAAGATTCATTATTGTTTATTACTGAATAAATATTTGATTAAATTAATCTTTATGCCTGTATGTGCAAAATGAACAATACAATTCATTAATAGGTAAAATATTAAAACACACAAGAGGATAAGAGACGACATTGTTGTCAGTGTTTACGCCCAATGTATACGTGTGCACTCAAGGAAACACAGGCAATTATCTTAAGAATATGTACAAAAGATTCATTCTTGTTTATTACAGAATATGTATTTGATTGAATTAATGTTTATATATGTGAAATGAACAATGAAATTCATTAATAATATGTAGAATACAGTAGAAGTCCAAAAATCCGGACTGATTGGTGATTTTCCGGATTCTCAGACAGTACTTTTAAAATTCAAATTTAAGGAGGAATAAAGAAGAGATGAACAGGTACATTTTGATAGTTTATTCATTAGCAAATATAGCATGCTTCATTTATCAAAACGAGCAGTTTTAATGAAAAAGCTGTGAATTCTAGAATTTTATTCTTTGCCATTTTTATATCATAAATTGCATACTTTCCAATGTCGTATGTTTCCATTAGAACAGTATTGCTCATACCACGTTCTAGTTTCTTAATTATTTCAAGTTTGTCACTCAATTTCAACGTGTTCTTCCTTCTCTTCACACAACGAAGTTTATCTACTTTAGGAGCCATTATTATGGGCTTGTACAGTACTCTGTAAATGGAAAGAGTAGGACTCAAAATATTGTTATATTATAATGTTATTCTATTCATACTGTGCTTGATATAATGCATTCACGGAAATGTATTATTTTTGCTGAAATGACGTACGTATTACAGTGGAAAGTGGGAAAAAATCGTGATGAAAACAATGACTTTCGCTTTCTTTCGTTCAAAAGATGTTACCGTAATCGCTTTTCGTATGGTTTTCAGTTAAAAAACTGTTGTATTACAATAATATTCTATCCTAATTGACTTGAATAAATACTACGATACCATATTTCTGAATATTTTCATTAAAATCCATCAAAATCATTTTCCTTTTCATCGTCTGCAGCACCAAACAGCTTCTCCCAGTCCTCTCCTTGAACAGGGCTAGAGGGTACGTGTTTTTCGAATCGTTTTCAGTGAAAAAATTATTAAATCACACATATATTTTACCTAAACTGCACCTGAATGAATATATTCTTGGAAATAAATAGTAGTTTTGCTGAAATGTGATGTATTTCAATGTAAAATAGGATAAAATACATGACGAAAACAAAAGACTTTACCTAAGCTTCCGATGTTCTTGAGATGTTACTCGTTTTTTTAATAGTTTTCGGTTAAAATTCTGTTATATTACAATGATATTCTATTCATACTGTGCTTGATATAATACATTCACGGAAATGTAATATTTTTGCTGAAATTACGTACGTATTACAGTGGAAAGTGGGATCAAATCGTGACGAAAACAATGACTTTCGCTTTCTTTCGTTCAAAAGATGTTACCGTAATCGCTTTTCGAATGGTTTAGTTAAGAAACTGTATTACAATAATATTCCCTCCTAATTGACTTGAATAAATATTTGAATGGAAATATACAATATTTTTGTTAAACTACCCGCGTTTCAGTGTAAAGTGTCGTAATAATAAATGGTAAACAATTTGCCTTCGGCACTCGTGTTTCAGGCAAGGCGAGCCTCGGTTTATAGGACGTGGTGTTTTTACTGAAGGTTTTGTTGTTCCATTACCCTCAAAAACATGGGTCGAACTATAAACGAGGAATATCATGAATTAACGATTTCTTGGTCAAAAAATCAGGGTCGACCTATAAACGAGGGGGGGTTATAGACGAGTATATACGGTATGTTGTCACAGTTTGATTGCTCGTTTTAAAGTGGCGACCACGAGGTCGCTTTTTGTCGCTGTGCAGCTGTGGCGCTCACGCATGTGCACATACACACAAAAGCCCGCTAAAAAAAAAAAAAAGTTTTCGAAAAGTCCGGATTTCTGGCATCCGGATTTTTGGACTTTTACTGTATTAAAACACACACGAGGAGACAAGATGGCATTGTTTTCGTGAGTGACGATGGTTCTACATAAGAAACTGAAGAAAATAAGACCCTGGTTGTAGCTGTAGTGAACTTAATTTAAAAAAATTGAATGCCTGAGTGTATGTTTTAAGTAATGCTATTTAATGTTAATAAATGGAACACTAAGAGTAGCTAACCACTAATGGTAAAGAAATAAGGCGAGACGACTGGGAACACCAACGTATGAACAGTAAGTGCGTACATGTGAAAACATATCATCATTTCTCAACATATGAATATGAAAGCAACACTTATTTACTGTTCATATATGTTTTAAATAATATTTACGAATGTAAACTAAAATTCTATTCACCAATGGCGGTAATGTCTAAAACATAAGGACAGCCAATGAATATTGTGCAAATTTTTACTGAGCTGAAAAGTTCACTATAACTATTAAGATGGGTCATTAACACAGTACAAGTACACCACCGATTTTCCGGGAATTGATGGTCTGGCACCTTCTTTAGTCCAGACAAAATTACGAGAGGGCACTTAACTTCCCTCCCTCCCTGCCATATTTCACTTGATTTACTGTTATTATTAGTGTTTACTGATATAATAATGCTTAATAGTGATTAGTCATGGCACTGTAGCCAGGTTAGACGCGTCATTGTAACCACCAGGCTACTGGGCCAAGCTGTGAGGTGTTATGGTTGCTTTTCAACTCATTTTCAGGTAGATATACGTACAGTACATAGCTTTCTTCATCTATTTTTCCCTCATTTACATGCACACACCATTCTAAATACATATTGTGAAGAAGAGTAAAAGAAATAATTGTCCTAAGGGCAAACCTGTACTCAAATGTACTAAGTTATTACTAAAAATTTTATGTCTAGTGCAAACTATGGGATGTTTGTACTTAAATTAATCACCATCTTACAAGAATTCCAGCAATGTAAGTTATATTCTGCCAAGTCAATGCAGTGACATTTTATAAGTGCAAAACTTAAACTCCTATTTGATAACTAAGCACTTTGTTATCTCCCCTCCCTGACAACTGTCAACACTTCACCTCCTCCTACCCCTTCCTCACAGCCAGGGTGAAGGCAGTTTTAAGCTTTAAGTTTTTATCTAATAAAATGTAGCTGAATAGATTAAGCAGAATATAACTAGCATTGCTGGTATCCTTGTAAGATAGTGATTAATTTGCATATAAACATCACATAGTTTGCACTTGGCATAAATTTTTCAGTAATTAACTTATTACATTTGAGTACAAAGTATGTACAGTAAAATGGTGCTCAAAATTATGGCTTTTTCACATTTAATTTACATTTCATATTTGTTGAATTTAAGTGTCTAGCAGTCCATGGTGCCTTAAAGACACAGGAGGTTTATCATTAGTGGGTCAGAGGTGTATTGTTGAATTATTATTACCTGACCTCGGTTGGTCTGGCAAAACGGATAATCTGGCAAGGCTTTGGAACCAAGGGTGCCGGAAAATCGGTGGTGTACCTGTATGAGGATCCTGAGAGTTCACCTTTCTGTACAAAAGTACCCAACACGCATGAACACAGAAGACTCATACTACTGACCTGACATTGGCAAGATCACAAGTGTTACTCAACTTGTCTAGCATGATCTGGTGATGAGCAAACACGAGGAACTTTTTGTCTGACTCCAGCAGCTCCTTGATGTACACACTGTAAGATGAATCATTATCTAAAAAAATTAAAATTTGTTTTCATTAGAATATTCAACAATGTAAAAACAAATACAGATTTTTCATGGGAAACACATCTGCTTACCAGTACAGTACTTCTAAAAATAAATGCCTCACCTGAAAATTAGATACCCTAGCTTGTTTCACCTGAAGATTAACCACCCTAGCTTATTTTACCTCAATTTTAATCACCCTAGCTTATTTTTCCTCAAGATTAACCACCCTAGCTTAATTCACCTGAAGATTAACCAAATTAATGCTTACCTAACTTAACCCTAGGGTAATGTTAGAATAGTTAATCTTCAGGTAAAGTAAACTGGGTTATATCTAATCTTCAGGTAATCTGAATTACTGTAATATATTTTTTCAATCTTGCAAACATTTTCCTCATTTGATACAAGATGATTAGGTAGGTACTGTACCCCTGATGCTTAGGGTTTAGCAGCTAATGGGTTATTCCACCCCAAGGGATGTTCCAGTATTGCCATGTTCACCTGACAGTGTTAGAGGATGTCATGAGTCCCTAGTCGAGATGACTTGGAATTAGGAAGAGTTCCCGTGAATCAGATATTGGTGGCTTCATTGGAGCTCATATAAATCCAGGCATATTATATATTATGGTATACAGTAATTATATTATTTGGAATATTTTGTAATAACATGACACGTAAATTTTATGTATTTAGTTAGTATACTTCATTTAGTTTCTGTGGCTCATAACAGCCATTAGAATACTTTTGGTTGTTCCAGTAATGAACACCAGAGGACCATAATTTCCCAACGACCACCTGTATGGTACGGCAAAAGCCGGCTGGTGGTCAGTTTAACATAACACTAACTGCTGTACATCAGGGCTGCTTGCACAATTCTCTTGGTGATGTCTGGATATTTTTTTCTTCATGTATTATTATTGTTAGGTACAGTGAACCCTCATTTTACGCGGTCAATTGAACCCACGGAGGCCCGCGTAAAACGAGAATCGCGTAAAGTGAACAACATAACATATGGGATTAAATGAAATAGAGACCGGCTGACCCCCAAACTCCACTTTTTCCGACACAATGCCTATGTTCTAGTAAAAATAACATCTTAATTTTATGATGGTACATGCACACAATTAATATTTAAGAGAAATAGAGAAATACAGTCGCCAAGTTAATGTCCATTCAAATAATGGACTCAACTCCCTCCCTCTCTTCTCACACTCCTGGCTCTTCCCTCTCTGAGAAATGTTTGGGGGAAAAACAACTAGATTTTAAGGTATAGTAATAAATAATACCTCAAACTAAAATTAGGATAATATAACTGACATTGCTGGATTCCTTGTAAGACCAGGAATATTTTGAATATAAATGTCATATATTTTGCACAAAAGATAACATATTTACTCAGAGTAAACAAAATACTTAGAGTAGATCTAAAATTTGTATGTCTAATGCAAAATCTATGATGTTTATATTCAAAATGATCATCAAATTGTAAGAATTCCAGCAATGTAAATTATATTCTGGCCGGGTAATTTGTATGGATTTTATGAGCTAAAACAAATATCTTCAGTTAATAAAAAAAAATATATATTTTTCACACACTATCTGTCAATCAAAGTACCCCACCTTGCCTCCCCCCCTCTTCCAACCCGCCAGATGGTCGGTCGGTCCCTCCCTCCCCCCCACCAACCCTCCCTACCAGAGAAATGTGTGGGAGAAACCAGAATATTTACCTTTTTAGTAATAAATAATACCTCAGACTAAGGTTAGGATAATATAATTGACATTGCTGGATTCCTTGCAAGACCAGGAATATTTTGAATATACACTTCATATATTTTGTACAAAAGATAACATATTTGCTCTGAGTAAACAAAATACTTGCATTAGATCTAAAATTTGTGTGTCTAATGCAAAATCTATGATGCTTATATTCAAAATGATCATCAAATTGTAAGAATTCCAGCAATGTAAATTATATTCTGGCCGGATAATTTGTATGAATTTTATGAGCTAAATAAAAAAATTATGCTTCACCCGCGTATATGAGTAGATGCACTGTGTAAAGTGGGAATTCCGGTTCTGGCAGGGTACCGCGTAAACGTGGAAACGCGTAATGTGGGACCGCGTAAAGCGAGGGTTCACTGTATATGACTTAGGATGTTTCAGTAGGAATTTAAATTATGCTACCATTTTGTTTTGCCTTGGAATAGTTTCATGTTAATTTTTCTTACAAATATATTAGTTTGTTTTAATACATATGTATTTCTCATTCTGGGTATTCTCTCCTTCACAATTAAACAACAATTAACCAACCTAAGCAGCTCTAAATCACTTAGAAACAATAAGTGCATTATCACGTTTTTATCATGGATCAGTATTCTCCCGAGATGACTTGCAGTAGATCTGTAATAGAGGATCCTCCTGGAAATAAGCATCTGATGGTTTTGTTGGCTATTCTTTAGTTAAATTGTCTTACAGTTTACCATTGTTTGTGCACTTGGACTGTCTAGGTATATTATTTGTATACCTGCATGGCCTAATATCCATTCTATACCTGCACTGTCTACATACATGTTTAACTGCATACCTGTACTTGCATTATCTATATACATGCTTAACCTCTTGTGTATGGATTCCCCTCTGAGCTGAGTAAGACTGTCTGGCATAAGCTAAATAAATATTAAAATTGGCATCACTGTAGTGAAGGAGTTAACTATATACAGTACTGTACCTGCATTGTCTACAAACATGCTGAATCAATGTAAACTTGTAAGACGACTTTACTGACTAAATTACAATCTTCCATCTCATTTTATTGTCAAGCAAGCAAGATTTAATGTACAAAGAGGAAGAGGCAGTAAATTCCAGAACACAAAGTTGAACGTCCACTCTTCAAGGAAAGGAGTGTAGACAAGATATATTGTTGTGACAGCTCTCTCTCTCTCTCTCTCAAATGGAAATAAAATATGAAAATTCTTACATAAGAACCTGCAACATGAGAAGTTGGAGAGAAAATCCCCAAGAAGTTTAAATATGGACTGAGTATGGAATCACTGTACAATGTAAATTTCAACTGCATGAAAAATGAAAACTAAATTAAATTTCATGTACCACAACAGTGAACTGCTTACCTTACAGCTTTTAGCTTAGCTTGAGCTGTTTCATTGAAGAATGCAAAAAGGGCACCTTGTTTTTCTAAACCATTGATAGACTTCAGGTTAAACTTCTTAGCTGCATCTGCCAAGGATTTGGTGCCATTCTCAATGGAGGTCGGGTCTAATGTCACCATCATTCTGGGAAAAGTTATGAAGCACTGAATTATTTCCATTAAAGTACAGGTATCTATGAAGTACTTCTAGCTAGAGGTATAAAACACTCCTAACACATCTGTTTCATCTAAAATCACAATAATTATTTCCATAAAAATCTACGTGTAACAACTTCTGCATTAGTCAGAGGTACAAAACACCACATTTCACTGTTTCATCTAAAATCAAGAGGCAAAAAAAAAAAAAGAAAGAAGTTACAATAATATTTTTCTACCACTGATGTTATCTATCCACCTCCTATCACAGTCAATCCTCGACTTACGATGGGGTTAGGGACCGACGACCAGGTCGTAAGTCGAATTGGCCCTAAGTCGAAAATGCGAAAATAATACATAGAAAATCTAAAATGGGTCTCTTTTTCTTCTCAGTACCACAAGAACTCTCACTTTTATGCTTGCCAGCCATTTTAAAGGGAATTACAAAAAACAAATTTGTCAGTACACAGCGCGATCACTAACTTCAGGACTCGAAAATACGTAAATTGAAAAATATTTTATATGACTGCGGCAATCGTATGTCCGGGTGGTCGTAAGTCGAGGAGTGCCTGTTTTACTGTACAGTGACCCCTCCGTTAACAAACTCAATCCGTTCCAGAAGGTCGTTCGTTAACCGAAACCATTATTTCAATGGGTTTTTGGGTAATTGGTTCCAGCTCACCGAAAATTTCCTAAATTCAACAAAAATGGTAGAAAAGTTCACTTACTTTGAGGTGTGTATGTAGAAGGCTCCTGGATGATGATGGGATTTAGAATGGGGGTGGAGGAGAAGGAAGAAGAGAAGGCATTGGGGTGGAAGAGAAGTCACCCCATGGTGCCATTTCACCCATAAAATTTTAGCTCTCTGGTGTAATTCAAGATTATTTTCTTTAAATCAAAACTGCACTGCATTATATATTGTCAATATGTAAAATATATTTCAAAATGACCAATAATTTGCTTGGAAACACAGAAAAAAAGCATTTAGTTGAAGAGTCTCAAGCAAGATGTTACCTCCAGTGAAAACAGAGAGAGACTAACTCCTGTCTGCTGTGTTAAGAGGCTGGATGCCGCGCATTAAACTAGTCACTTTACCTTTAATTATGTTCAATAATTGTTAAAATGACAAAAAAATTGAATATTAAACTTTTAAAATCATTGAATAGTATAAACTTCTTGATATTTACTAAAATAGTAAGGAATTTAAGCCCTAGAACCGATTAATGTATTGGCGGACTAATACTAAAGTTGGTTGCCCGTTCAGTACAAACGAAAACATGTTGAGGTCAGTTTGTAAGAACTTCGTTAACCGAATTTTTTTTCGTTAACCGAATTGAAGATCCTTATGGAAGGCAGTTCGTTAATCAAAATTACGTTAACCGAGGTGTTCGTTAAACGAGGGGTCACTGTACTTAATTCCCCTAACACAGTAAAAAAATCTGTTCCACGAGTGAGATTAAAGGATAGACTCAATGAAGGAAGTGTGTATTGGTTCTTAACTGAATGATAGAAGTGCATATTTGCTCATTACTGAATGAAAGAAATGTGTACTGGATTTGCTCTTAACTGAATTAAAGAAGACTGAATTTGTTCTTGACTGAAAGAAGACTGTATGTGTTGTTGACTGAATGAAAGACTATTTGTTCTTGACTGGATGAAAAAAGATTGTACTTCCTCTTGACTGAATGAAAGACTGTATTTGTTCTTGACTGAATGAAAGACATCCAGTGGGAGAAAAATATTCCCAGCTCTATTAAACAAAACGAAAGCAGTGCACTACAAGATGTCATTACAGTCCAGTTACCCTCAACTCACAGCTCAGTGTAACAATAATCCATAAACGCTTTCAATGATTCACTTTTGTTCACTAAACCAATTCAAGAGAGAAACTTCTATGTGTCTTTTCACATCACTTCTCACACTCACTACAAACTGTTGGGAGAAGAACCAAATCACCTCAAGATTTTCCCCTGAAGCTGGGAGGTAAAGGCAAGGCAAGGCAAGGTAAGGTAAGGCAAGGCAAGGTAAGGTAAGGTAAGGTAAGGTAAGGTAAGGTAAGGTAAAGTAAGGTAAGGTAAGGTAAGGTAAGGTAAGGAAGGGTAGGGAAGGTAAGGTAAGGTAAGGAAGGGTAGGGTAAGGTAAGGTAAGGTAAGGTAAGGTAAGGTTAGGTTATACTACTTTAGGTTAGGGTTTTAATGTTAGGTTAGGTTATATTAAATAGGGTTTACTAGGTTATATTAGGTTGGGGTACATTAGTGTTAAGGTGGTTAATCTTAAGGGACAAATCTTCAGGTGATCTGATAAACCCTTCACCAAAGACTTCACTACAGATGATACAGTACTTAGTGGTTTGTGTAGTGTCCATGATGTTTCCACCTAAGAGGGAGCAACTGTACTCTTGACACTTTACCTGACAAAAAATACAATTTTTTTTTTGATAAAGGTTATTTTTTTTCTTCTTCCCGCTCATATTAAACCATGTCAGCTGCTAGTAATTCTTAATGATGTGATGATGAAACTAGCCTTCTGGACAAGGTCTCATTACCATCAAAGGGTTGAGACCTTCCAGTGCCCCACATAACTAAGTACAGCTACTCGCCAACTTACAACCTACTCGACTACGACCACCCTGACATACGACTGCCTCAGTCGTACCAAAAATTTTTCAAATTACGTATTTTAGAGTCCCAACGTCAGGGATTGTGCTGTGTACTGACAAAACTTTCGTTTGTAATTCCCTTTAAAATGGCTAGCAAGCATAAAAGTGAGAGTTTTGTGATGCTGAAAAGAAAAAGGGACACCCATTTTAGATTTTCTATGTATTATATAAGCATTTTCGACTTACGACCTGGATTTGGGTCCCTAACCCTGTCGTAAGTCGGGGAGCAGCTGTACTCTACAGTACAATATTGCTTGGTGAAAATTTCCATTGAGGGGATCTTAGGCATTACCTCAGTTTTGACGGAAGTTGATCCAGCACCTGCACCTTAAGTCTCCGGATCATTATGTTTCTAAGCATTATCTGTAGCTCTTGCAAATTGCTGGAACCTGAGAAGTTCCATCCCCACGGAAGCTGTTGTCCATTACAGTATCTTACACCAAATTTCTGGAAACTAATGATTACAATAAAAACTCAGTAAAAGTATGATTAAAATAATGACACACACAGAGAGAGAGAGAGAGAGAGAGAGAGAGAGAGAGAGAGAGAGAGAGAGAGAGAGAGAGAGAGAGAGAGGAGAGAGAGAGAGAGGAGAGAGAGAGAGAGAGAGAGAGAGAGAGAGAGAGAGAGAGAGAGAGAGAGAGAGAGAGAGAGAGAGAGAGAGAGAGAGAGAGAGAGAGAGAGAGAGAGAGAGAGAGAGAGAGAGAGAGAGAGAGAGAGAGAGAGAGAGAGAGAGAGAGAGAGAGAGAGAGAGAGAGAGAGAGAGAGAGAGAGAGAGAGGAGAGAGAGAGAGAGAGAGAGAGAGAGAGAGAGAGAGAGAGAGAGAGAGAGAGAGAGAGAGAGAGAGAGAGAGAGAGAGAGAGAGAGAGAGAGAGAGAGAGAGAGAGAGAGAGAGAGAGAGAGAGAGAGAGAGAGAGAGAGAGAGAGAGAGAGAGAGAGAGAGAGAGAGAGAGAGAGAGAGAGAGAGAGAGAGAGAGAGAGAGAGAGAGAGAGAGAGAGAGAGAGAGAGAGAGAGAGAGAGAGAGAGAGAGAGAGAGAGAGAGAGAGAGAGAGAGAGAGAGAGAGAGAGAGAGAGAGAGAGAGAGAGAGAGAGAGAGAGAGAGAGAGAGAGAGAGAGAGAGAGAGAGAGAGAGAGAGAGAGAGAGAGAGAGAGAGAGAGAGAGAGAGAGAGAGAGAGAGAGAGAGAGAGAGAGAGAGAGAGAGAGAGAGAGAGAGAGAGAGAGAGAGAGAGAGAGAGAGAGAGAGAGAGAGAGAGAGAGAGAGAGAGAGAGAGAGAGAGAGATTGATTCATTACCTTGGAAAGAGTCCTGGACATAATCCAGCAATCTGTGTGTACAGCTCTGAGGGCCGTGAAAGAGCTGGGGTGCCAGTCAACATCAAGACACGCTTGGCTTGCTTAACGACTGGTGCTGCAGCCTTATATCTTGCTGTCTTAAAGTTCTTCAACATATGAGATTCATCCTATGGGGACATTTAGAAATAAGGCTTAGTGTAAGTGCTCTCCATGTCATTGTATGAACCTCATTTTTCTTACAGGATAGACACACAACTCTGAATAACTTCAATGCCCATAATAATACTTCTAAATTCTTCCGTATTTGTTTACAAAATCTTAAACAAGAGTGAATGTCAACTCTCATCTTTAAAGGCAAAACATTAACCAGACACAGGCTATGACAACAAAGGCGATATTATTCTTTTCTTTTTTTTACGGGCATTAGCCCACCCGGGCACAGATAATGACCCACCTCAGGGCCTGGGGGGGGGGGGAATATAATAATAATAATAATAATAATAATAATAATATCTATTACTATTATTATTATTACAATAATTAATAAAATTAATAGCAAATTAATACAAATAAAATAATAAAACTAATTAAAAATAATAAGCATAAAAAATACAAAATTAAAAAAATAAATCAAGAGTGAGAAATTATATACATTATATATGTTGTGTTGTCCAAGTAAGAGAAAAAATTGAGACCCTGCAATTGTGTGTAAATGAGGCAGAAAGTCAGATCAGCAACCTGGGACTTGGTCACATATGGCAGCAGGGTCTACCATTAGACAACACATTATGCTTCCAATATCTTCCCAGGCAGTAGTACCTCCCTGTTTGGTAGCTGCCTACTACCTGGTGACAAAAGTTTTTATTTTCTTAGATGACAAGTGAGATGCATAACAACCAAATGACTGACTCAGATTTTGGAAAGCAATTAGCTAAAATCACTAATGTACTATTCCACCTTCAGATACACCAGTAAGTAAAGAGTTAACATAAATCTATAGGTTCAAATGACTAATACCTATTGTATTGACCACGGTCGTACACGTCAGTTAACGTAAAATCGGACGATTCGTATTACGCTCAATAGGCCACAAAATATGTAGCTATGCCTTCTTTGTTGAGTCTCCCATCTGAGGCGTCCATTTTCTCATCGCTCCCTAGCTTAGGTGCCATCCATTTTCTCTGACTTCCTGAAACCAATCTCTCGATAAAGTGAATTTGAATGTGAGAGAGGACACCATTGTTTTGGGTCAATTTAGATATGACTGATTACAGTTAAAGCATACAAGATTCTTTGTGAGTGATGTTGAAAGCTTTAACTGTCTTTATTGTTCGTAACACTTGTCAAGTAAATGAGTGTCGAGTCTGCCAGGACGAATGGCATCCCATGATATTGTCCTTTGGGATAGCCATGAATTTCCAATTGCTACTGAAATTAGATTATTTTGATGCCCAAACATCAGAGAATCTAATGTTTGTAGTTTAATTAGTGTCAGTTGTCTATTTAAGAAAGTCATTAATCTCCTGAACTATTTTGTCAACCTGTATAATCTCCAAAATCTAACGTATCCCTGTGAATAGTTGAATATTCGCAGTCGTGCTGAGTTTGTAAAACTAGTGTTAACAGCGTGTGTACTGTGAATTTGACGTCAATTCCACTTTTTCCTGGCAAGCTCAATCTCTGATTAGATTATAAAAATAGACGTCAGAAATTCACCTGACCCATGGCATTGATTTTCATAGTTAAATGTACAGCAACTGAGTTGAATGTAATTTCTGTCATTGAGTGATTAGCCTTTCTGGCATGTGTAGCGCACAGGCCTGAGTTGCCAGTTAGCCGTATATAAACTCGTACACAAGGAACAGTGTCACATCTGAGATCACTTGGGTCAATCTCAATGGTGTCGTGGTAGTAACCCTTATCATGTAATGTGATAACTTCTGTCACTTCACCTCAAGCCTGCAGGGTGTGAAAGGGGGTGGAGATGGCACCTGTGAACACCTACTTTAATTACCACACCCCCTCCCCCCACCCCTATTATCTGTTGTCAGTGGCAGTAACACTTGTCATATGAGATCATAATACCTGTCACCTCACTTCAATTGCCTCTCAGCTTGGTGGTTCCTCTGAAATGTTGACCGAGTGACTAGAGGTGGCTGGTTAAACATGTACGGTGAGGTTGGGTTATGTAATGCCGGACACATGGATATAAAAATAAAAAATAACTTGTCTGGGCCCCTAGTCCGATATGCTGGGCACTGTTAATCTGCACAGCCTACTTGTAAGTGTAAATCATTAAGTATGGAGCAAATTATCCATTAAACAAGAGTAAATTATATACTGTAAAGTACACCAGGTCCAAGTTATTCATGAGGGATAGGGACCATAAAATGGTTGCGGATAGTGCTTCCATCCAGGCGTCAATAGGTGATGTCACACTGTCTTAGACTTCCAGGTAGGTGGTGGTGGGGGTAACTAACAGGTGGTAGAGATGGTTACTGAGGAGCACTAAAGAAAAGTGTCATAAGAAATATAAATAGTGTAAAGTACACAGAGCCAATGAAATTAGCAATGAAACCATAACCTCCGCATGACCTTCGGTGGCGTACATTGTGAGTGTCGTACTGTACAATCACTTCCTGTCTCAAGTGCCCCATGATGAGTAAATATTGTATTAATTTGTACAGTACTGTATTTTTAACATGTGCTGTAATTCTAATTTTTTTATCTACAGGTACACTCTCCCAAAAACGTATCAGCCCCCCTGGGTCATTTTTATTTGGAAATGAACACAATAACACATGAACAACAGTCTCGGTCCAGTTGGTATTTCTGATTATGAGTTGCACCTTTCGTTGTTTCATCTTGCACCTGATAATCACCATAATATCTGCAGTATACCACCTATTTTCAACATAATCTAATGAAATAGGATGAAGTGTGATACCACATGTAAAACCAACAACGTCATGAGTAACCCCGCTGATTCATACACCTTAAGATACTATTTCAGCCCCTGGGGATGGGTTGCCGAATAGGAATATAACGTTACTATGTTTTCATGAACCAAGGTTACAATGGAATCGCTTCAAATGAAATATGAAACACTATGACCTGATATTATATTCATTGCAAATACAGAAATTACAGGTGTATTATGAAGCCTTATCCAATTACAATAATACCTATACAGTATTATGATTTACTGCATTTCAAAAAATTTTCTACCTCAACAGATGAGGTACCAATTATGAATATAATGTATCATCACATGATTCGTGCTGGCAACGGAACAGTATCTGATACACGCTACGAGACGATGTCGTCAAGTTCTCCCATGGGATTGACAGTCACTTTGGAGACACCACAGGCAACATGAGGCAGTACCATCGCCCTTCACGACATAGGCCTAAGCAACAAGGAGATGGCACAACGGCATGGCATTTCCATCATAATCCATGTCTGTTGGGGAAAGATATGTTTTCCAATGATTCTCGGGTACTAGTGTTGGTCATGGATTTCCAGCAGAAAACACCCACTATTTGATTGCTGTCAATAGAGTTTTGCTACATTAATATCATTATATTATTCTACTAAAGATAGAGCACAGTGATTCACCATAATTACAACAAATGCCAGAAATAAAAACTGGTAACCCCACAGTTACTAGGAAGGCAGACCTGCCAACATTATGCAGGAATCACAATTAGTGACCCCAAATATTCGTCCATTGTGACACATTGTGCCGATGAGAAAAGGGGCCAATACTTTTTTGGGAGCGTGCACATTATAGTGCAGTAATAATATATACAATATGGAGCACTCTTCTACTTTGTAAGATTCTCTTATCACTCTCCCATTATATTAGGCCGTGATCCCGAGCAAAAATATTTACGGTAAGCAAAAAAGTATATACAGTAAACTGTTATCCATAGCATCTGTTCTAATTATGTTATGAAGATGAATTTCATACAACAGGTATAATGATCCTGACCAAATTCTCTACAAGACGATAAAATGATGGGAACTCAATTCTTTTATGAAAAATGCAAGAAATATTTATATCAGTCTATAAAATCAGTTCTAATTATGTTAGAAACACTAATGCTTTACTAAAATAATCCTGAATAGTATATACAGTACAGTAGTGTATTTAAAAAAAAAATCTACGGTATATAATACGGGCCATCAAATGGAAATGTTTTGGGGAGTGAGGCCTGAATGAAGCTGTCTATAACAGCCGAGACAGTACACACTGCTGCCAGGCACATGAGAGCTCCCAGCAACACCATCCACTCGGTGATTCACTAAGTACAGCTACTGATAGACCAAGGAAAAATTTACCTTTTTCCCCAGAGATGTTAAAACCCTATGTGGCCAAAATAAATATGGTCATATGGCATATAAAAAATCCTGAGAGTGTTAATTCTAAGCTAATAACTACAGTAGGTTAGGTGTTCTTAGGTAGCTTGACACTATGGACTCCTGCACAACCCAGAATTTCAGTCAAACCAGACAGGCCTTCCCCCCAATTAGTCTGGATTGAGAGGGAATTTACTGTATAATGTTTCTCCAGGAAAAAGCACAAAGAGTAGACGCCTTAGAACTAGAACGAGCTAGGTTCGAGTTCCAAATCAAAATAAAAGAACTCGAGTTGGAACAGGCCAAGTTGCAGCATGAGGAAAAGTTGGAACAGGCCAAGTTGGAGCATGAGGGAATGTCGGAACAGGCCAAGTTGGAGCAGGAGGTTAGACTGAAAGAACTACAGGTGAGAGAGACAGAAGTCACCTTAACATCGGAGTTTAAATCAAAAGAAGTGGCATTAAAAGAGAGACTAGCTGCTTTTAACCCTGCTAATGCTTCTTCCCTTGTTCCCGGGTTTGATGAATCCGATATGGACGGGTCATTTAGGACTTTTGAGAAAATAGCCGGGAAGAATGAGTGGCCTAAGGACCAGTGGGTGTCGGTGTTAGTTCCTAAATTATGTGGTAAGGCTCGTAGATTTTATAACTGTTTAGACCAGACTGATGACTATGATAACATAAAAAAGAATATCCTCACCTCTTATGCTATCACGCCAGATGGATACCGGCAGAAGTTTCGTAAACTAACCAAACCATTTTCACACACCTTTGTTGAGTTTGCTCAAGAAAAGCTTAGGTTTTTTAAGAAGTGGTTAGAGGCTACAGAGACCTCCACATTTCAGGATTTGTTAAATTTGGTAGTCCTGGAGGAGTGGAAGAGCAAGATACCATTTCACATGTTGAAGCATGTGGAGGATCGTGGAGAGGTTAATTTAGGGCGTGCGGCTGAGCTGGCTGATGCGTACGCCTTGATGGTGGAGTCACTGGGCAGTAGAGAACGTGGTACTTCCCGACATGTTAGGTCCTCCTCTGATGATAACCTTGGGGGCGTGAGTGGTAGGTCAAAAGGTCCCACACCTAACCCCCCTGATGCAACCAAGTTTACTTGTTCTTACTGTAAAAACCCAGGCCATACGATCCAGACTTGTAAACACCCAAAGTGTCAAATTGCTAAAAGTAGTTCCCTGGATCTCAAATCCAAACCAATAGCAACCACCAATGTGGAAAGGCCCCATCAGGATCTCTTCTCTTCATTCACCTATGAGGGAAAAATTTCAATCATAGAAGGGTCTCGTTCTTTCCCTATTCGTATACTACGTGATACGGGCGCAGCACAATCTATCCTCCTGTTTAACGTCATTCCTGATATATCTACCGCATTTACTAATGAGAGTGTTCTAATTTCAGATCTCTCATCCCATTCTTCCTATCCCTTAGCTAAAGTGCACCTCCAATGTCCCTTGATTACTGGGGAAGTGCAAATAGCCATTAGGAAAGATCCAATGCCTGTGAGCGGCATTCATTTATTATTGGGTAATGACTTGGCAGGAGATCTAGTGGTTCCCAACATAAAGACAGTCGACTCTCCCTTACCTGTCAACTCCACCACTGACCTTGAAGAAACTACTCCTCACCTTTTCCCATCTTGTGCTGTCACCCGGTCACAGAGTGTGCGAACTGGGCCCTCTTCATCTAAAACCACCTCCAATATCTTCCTACCCACAGAAGATCTGTACAATAAGACCATTAGTAAGGATGAGCTCATTAAAGCCCAACAATCTGATCCATCTTTGTTCAAAAAGGTGATGAAAGACCTCAGTGTGGACCATTGTACATCTTCGGCTTACCACCCACACTCCCAAGGGTGCTTGGAAAGGTTCCATCAAAACTTTCAAATCAATGCTAATAAACTATCTCCCCTCAACTATATAGTCCATACTCCTGATCGCAGAAAAGATTCACAACTTGTTCACATTAATCTCATGAAACATTACCATTCCAGGCAGTCAGAGGAAGACATCACAGAGGCTATAAGCTTACCTGTATTGCATACGGTTTTGTCAGGGCCGGAGACAGATGACATGGATCTATTGGAGAATTTAGACTTCCCTCTACCTAAAGAAAACCCTGCTAACAGTCACATACTCAACAACTTGGATGAGTATTTTTCTGTTCTGAATCCATCTCAAGCAAAAGATCTCACTAAGTTATTATCAACATTTCCTAAAGTCACGTCAGACCTCCCAGGGATTTGCAATATACTTAAACATGATATTAAGCTAATCTCAGATGGTGTACAACCCATTAGGCAATCAGCCTATCGACTAAATCCACAAAAAAGAGAGATTATGAAAAAGGAGGTAGATTTTTTGTTAAAACATAACTTAGCTGACCCTAGTACCTCCCCCTGGGCTTCACCTTGCCTTCTCATTCCAAAACCCGATAGCACTTTTCGTTTCTGTACCAATTATCGTAAAGTGAACCAGGTCACTGTCTCAGACTCCTACCCTTTAACTTTGATTGAAGATATAATAGACAGCATAGGCTGTGTAAAATTTATATCTACGGTGGACAGGTTGAAAGGATATTATCAAGTGGGACTCACGGATAGGGCAAAAATAATCTCGGCATTTATAACTCCATTTGGTCTTTTTCAATATTTGGTTATGGCGTTTGGCTTTTCTAATGCTCCGGCCACGTTCCAGAGGGCCATCAATTACCTGGTTCAGGACCTAGATGGGACGTTCGCCTACCTGAATGACCTGGTGGTGGTGTCGGACGGCTGGGACGAACATCTGGTGCGTTTGGAGATACTGTTCGCACGACTGCAAGAGACTGGATTCACCATAAACCTGGCTAAATCTGCTTTTGGCCGGGCCTCAGTGACTTACCTGGGACATATCGTTGGGCATGGTATGGTGAGACCCAAGGACGCAAACGTTAAAGCCATCTTGTCCTTCCCCACTCCAAGGACGAGGAAGGAACTCATGCGCTTCCTGGGGATGTGCGGCTACTACCGTCGGTTCTGCAGTAACTTCTCCAGCGTGGCCGGACCCCTCACAGACCTTACCAGTTCTGCGGTCCCTTACATCTGGAACCAGAAGTGCGACCAGTCTTTCCACCGCCTCAAAGCCTTCCTTGCCTCCAAGCCTGTAGTCCACCCCCCTGACTACACCTTGCCCTTCCATCTGCAAATCGACGCTAGCGGTGTCGGAGTGGGGGCTGTGCTCCTACAACCTGACCCAACCACTGATGTCCTTCACCCTGTGGCATACTACTCCGCCAAGTTGAAAAAACATCATACCAACTACTCGACCATAGAGGAGGCCCTGGCTCTGGTGTTGGCAATAAAGAAGTTTGAATGTTACCTCCAGTCTTGCCCAAAAACAACCCCAGTCTTCACCGACCATAACCCACTCACGTTCATCCGCTGGGCTCTCCTCACCCAGCCCTATAATCTACAAGTCCGGCACATACAGGGGGTGGACAACATGATTGCGGACTCCTTATCCCGAGCTCCAGTGGAAATGCAGCAGCTACTCTCCAGACGCACCAGGTGATCACCTCCTTCGCGCCTGCGCTACAGAGGACTTTGGAGGGGTGTGTGTTACGAACCACGCCACCAATTGTCATGATCTACCTACCCAGCACTACGAACCACGCCATCTATTGTCCTGATCTACCTACCCAGCACCACGAGCAACGCCATCTAGGGACGGAACACGAGTATGACTAGTCTTAGTTACCACTCTGGGGTTTCCCTTCTCCATATCCTGGTATTTGCGTCACCTCCTACAAGTCTTCTTCATCAGCTCCAGTTCGATGAGAGTGCAGTTCACTCTGGGAAGTGACCACAGGATCACCTATCCTGAAAACCTACGGCACAGTGACTACCTACCGTCTTCTACAATACTCAGCCATCTCAGCTCCGCACTTAAGTATTTGTAATCCTATATTGCCTCCCCGTGTCCACTTGCTTCAAAATTGTTGTATGTTGTATAAATATGTATATACTGTTAATGTTTAGGTTAAGTATGGTTAAAGGTAAATTATAGAAAGCTGAAACATTTGTTAAGGAATTTATGGTACTTTATTATACACAACAAAAACTCGCATCCTTTGTCTACCCTTTTATAGTCCGATTGTCTTTGTTTTTTTATTGTTGTTGCCTGTTGGGATCTGGGTAGACTTTTAACTATATTCTAAATCCCCAACTCGTAACAAGAACGTACTCAAGAGGACGAGATGCTGACCCTAAACCAACCTCGCAAGTAGTCCAGTACTGTACTTGGATTCATGGATAACAAGGACTTGATGTACACAATAATTACCCAATATTCATTGGATTTTAAGAGACAACCTCAATAAATTTTCTTTCTTATTAGTAGACACAGGACATTGAAGGTCATAACAGAGAATGGATTGACCTACCAACCAGATAGTAAACAAGTGGTTATTAAAAAAAAAAATCAAGTCAACACTAACATGGATGTTGTCAGCATGCACCAAATTAAAATTATATCATAAGTACAGTACTGCATATGTATTTCACACTTACCATTATTACAACCTGAAATCGACTATTCATTACTTCTTTTAGTTTGCGGACCAAGAGGTCATAAGTTATAATGACCACCTGAGCATCACTCAAGGTGTCCTGCCCACTGCCAATAACAGTTATGTCTTCCCGGCTCACTGAAGGCACCCATCTTTCTATTGCATTGACCCATGAGTACCTGCAAATATGGTGTTAATTAACTGTACATTACATGAAATTGAATGACAAAATATAGCAAAGGAAACTAAAAATTAAAGTTTAAAACTTACAAAAGTAACCTGAACTGCTTGCATGTAGAGATGGGTATTTGTAGGAGTGACAGAGGCTTTATTGGGATGGTTGAACCGAAACTTTGTTCTTTTCGTCATAATTTCTCTGTAGCATCGTAGATATGCAGTAATACCTCTTTGAATCTTGCTATTTAAATTTAATTAATCCTTCTGCAATAACCCTGATATCATCTGCCATTTCTTTTGTAAAGAATCCCTTTGGTTCTTGATTTCCAGCTTCCTCTACATCCTCTGACAAAATTCGCTTCTCCAGTTCAATCAGGTCCTTATTGCTTAATTCTTCAGGATGAGACCCAAGCAACTGTGTGACATCATTCTCATGAATATCAAGCTGGAGTTGGTTCCCAAGGTCTACCACTGTCTGTGTCACTTCCCCAATATCATTTCCAAAGCCCCTGAAATCATGAACAAGCTTTGGGCAAGTGTTTTTTCAAAACACCATTTGCCCTTATCTTGAATCGATTATACCAGCACCTACTAGCAAAAAATTTTTCCCCATCACTTTTTCCTGAATCAAGGTTAGACTTAAGAAACAAATCCGGTTGATTTTGATCTTCCACTCATATCACTAACAATCTTTGTTTTGCTATCACAGTTGAGTACATTGGTGCAGATTCTTTTACATATTCAAGAATTTTCTGTTTGTCTTTCAAAATTGTTCCGACAGTTGACCAACTGAAGCCCAATGCTTTACCAATGACTGAGGGCGTTTTGCCTTTTCAGAACATTAAATTACATCAATTTTCAGTTCCATTGTATTTGTTTTCCTTTACTTGGATGCACTACTATCACTTGCATCAGGTTTGTGTTTGGGAGCCATGATGAGGGCAGACAAAAAGAGTTAATAAGTAAAAACAACAGTTTGCATTTGATTATGCAAGTTAGTATGACGAGGGTAGACCGTACTGACGCTACCTCAAGGCATGTGAGGCATGTAACTGGACAATGCATCACTCCCTACCTGCCGTTCGGCCTTGCCTCTATGCCACACAAACTAGTTCTCATACGTAAATACTACGAATCAGCTGTAGTTATGTCGGATTCTTAAAATTATTAACCTTATTGGACCTCATTCGTATTAGCAGGTGTTCGTAAGCTGGGAACCCCCTGTATACTGCATCCCTTAACTTATTGACTAAGTTTTTAGGTGTCAAAAATAGTAAGTCTGGTATTTATTAGTGGTAATGATTCTTGACAAAAATTTAATCCATTTCTGAATGAAGGGACTCAATGGTGAGAACACAGTCATTGATGATTGGATTTGCATGGGAGACCCACCCAATACTCTTTGTATCCCTGAAGGTAGCCCTCTATCAGCCTCTTATCAGGAGATTTTACAAGTGTCATCACTGGGGCCATGTGGCCCAAGTATGCCCTTCCACCAAGCAGTGGTGTGGTCTCTGTTTAAGACAACGTGAAAGACAGATTTGCAAAAATCCGATTGCTGAAGTTGGAACTATTCAAAAGAGGGGCATTAACTGCAAAACAGATGGGGTTTCTGCATGGCATTCCTCCATCCCCCCAACATCCAGAACGTTCTGGGTCAAGAAACACTACTGCAACAAGGCACTCCCTATGGCCAAACCCTGGCCCACCCTGCACACCATAGCTCAAACATCATCACCAGCAGTCAATGCAAGATCTTCATGGGGCAACACAGACATACTGACACAACAGGTAGCTGACAACACACCCAGTGAACATAAAAAAATGAAGAGATTACAGATATGAAAAATGAAACATCTTGAAGCTCAACTTGCAGTTCAACATGAGAAGTTAAAGAGAACCCTTGTGATACAGTACAGAAAACAACCAACAAAAAGGAGCATTGGGAAAATTACAGTCAAAAGGAAGACATTCAAATGTCAGTTCAGTACCAGATGTGGAAAATCAACAGCCATCAGGGACTCATGTCCAAGCAGAGAAAAACAGAGGCTCCTGAGCACACGGACAATGAAGATGAACAGACAATAAAAGAAAGGTGTGATGATGCACATTGTGACAGAAGAGTGTGTAGGTGCAACAGAACTACTGCTGGCACCTCCTGCTCAATGATGGGACAGAAAGCACAGAAAAAGATGTTATCTTAAATGTCTTTGACTTATTACATTAACATATAAGGTATAGATGGAAGTGCAGTTTGCTCCACTCCTGTGTTTACCACTGAGCATTGCCAATGCTCTCTCTCTCCCCCTGAGTTGTGAACCCTGAACTTTGAAGTGCAAATTTGAAGAATTCACTCGTGACGAGTGAACAAGAGGAAGAGGAGAGGGTTGTGTCAGGGTAGGTGTCCTTCTGTGGTGGGGAGATGGGGCACTAGGGGTGAGGAAGGAAAGTGTACAGTATATCAGTTGGGAAGGATAACAATGCAGGTATAACAATGACAATACTAATGGGGTTTCCTTAGCTGAGTGTAATCGTTTAGCTCTAGCCAGATGAAAATACTAAAGTTACAATAGCATGAAAGAAGGATGAATTCATGTTTTAAGTCAAGTGTTCCTTTGCAAAAGGGGGCATTTATGAGCAAATGGACTATGGATATGTTTGAATGTTTATCTTTGTAATGAAAGCTTGATATGAACAAAAATAGTTGAGCTGTCAGCTTCCTGGTATAGAATCAGCAACCCACATACTATTGTAATTCAGTTACACCAAACAGTGAGGTTAAATGGTGAATAAATCCTTTTTGTGCTACCGCTCACAGGATGAGTATGGGGTGCACAATAAACTAGTCACTGTCAAAAACACCTGTCCAATGTCTCCCTGTTGCATTCTTTCACATACAGTAAGTCCAAAAACCTGCAATATTTCAACAAGTTCTCAAGAAGTGAAGTTGTAACTAACCGAACAGAAGATGGAGTTACCACAAGCAACGGCCATTCTGTCCTGTAGTAAACTGCAACACCCAGGGCTTGTATTGTCTTGCCCAGACCCATGTCGTCTGCAATCATGCAGCGTCCATTACGACTTACACCAAAACTGTAAAGCAATAATAATTTATTAATGACCATAAGGATAAGATACAGAGTACAAAACCCTTAAATTCTGTGGTTGTAAATGTAGGTCAACGAGGTCCCTCCTGTAATAGGCCCCAAATTAACCCTAAATAAACACTTAACAGGTACCAGTACCTTACATACATGCATACATTCATACATGTGTGAGTGTGTTGCATTGTGGGATGGGGGGAGGAGGGGGCAGACATTAGGGAGCTGAGAGATGCTGCTCTTTGGTCTCAACTCAAAAACCAGAAGAGACGAACAGCTCCAAGTCTGGCTTCTCTGTCACGACCCTCTATGGTGTTACAGGCACAGTGTAACATTTTAAATAATGTGTGTGCCAAGATTAAGAGTACACGCACATGCACGCACGTGCACGTGCGCACACACGCATACACACACACACTAGCATTATGTTGGTAGAGGACAATCACCATCTCCATATGAGCGTGGGTTTTACGCTTTTTTTTTTTTTTTAGCTCACTACCCATCAATAGGCCAAGGCAGCAATGTACACACCAAGGCTAGACCTCTCTTTGTTTTGACAGGAAATTATTAGCCCGGTGTGGTTAAAATTAGCCACAGGTGAGTATTGTGAAGAGCATTAACTCTAATTACGTGTTTTTGTGTCCCACCGCAGCAGTACCTCCAGATGTGACCTTACCGACGTGGGAGAAGCCATTGCTGTGACACTATCCCCCCCCAACACACACACATACAATTATTCATGCATTTCTCTTATTGGTCAATTCTTAGCCTTTCTTACACTCTCTTATTGGTCAAATCTAGTCTTTTATAACCCAATTCTTAATTCCGTCAACAACATTTATAATCTTGTCGCTTATTGGTCAATTCTGGGCAATGAGAAACCATCTTTAATTTGCTGGTATACAATATTAGAGATTTTAATACTAGCCAATCCTTGCAATTTCTAGAATACACCTGTACAGTCTCTCCTCGAGTTACGATGGGGTTCCGGACCGACGAGCAGGTCACAAGTCAAAAAGGCGAAAATAATACATAGAAAATCTAAAATGAAATATGATACAGTGAAAGTAATCAATAATGAAAAATGAATAAAGTGTTACTGTGCACTTACCTTTAATGTAGTCAGCTGAATGCACACGGGGCCTCAATAATTTCTTAATTAAACATGGAGATTACAGTCAGTCCTCAACTTATGACAAGGTTAGTGACCGACGACCAGGTCATAAATCGAAAATGTGAAAATAATACTGTACATAGAAATTCTAAAATGGGTGTCCCTTTTTCTTCTCAGCACCATGAGAACTCTCACTTTTATGCTTGCCAGCCATTTTAAAGGGATTACAAACAAAAATTTTGTCAGTACACAGCGCGATCACTAACGTTGGTACTATAAAATACGTAATTTGAAAAATATTTTATACGATTGCGGAGGTTGTATGTCCGGGTGATCGTAAATTGAGTAGGTCTTAAGTCGAGGAGTACCTGTACATTAATTGGATGAAGCAGAGGAGGAGACAGGGCTGGGTGGGTCATCAATTTCGCTTTCTTCAGACAGGCTAACATACTTGCTTGTTGAAGGTATTGGATCATCTTTAGGGAGTGAAGAGGCAGCAGTGGTGGGGCATGAGGAGACAGCAGTGGGGACTTCTTAAAATATGTCCAATTTAGACTGCACAGTTTGCCTTTTCTTTTCATTGTAAATCTCCCTGAAGCAAGCAAGTGCATCTTGGATCATTCTGTCAGCTTTTGCAAAACGCTCAACATTTTGATCAATTTCGTCAACAAACTGCTCAACATCTTCATTATCAATTTCTAACTCCAGCTGTTACCCAACTCCACTATCTTGTTACTAATCTCAGGAATTGCTTCATCTTCATTAAAACCTTTGAAACTGTTCACACATCTTTTCAGGACCTTCCATATTCCATTCATGCACTGACCTGTAACCTCATCCCATGCTGCAGCTATGTTCTTTATACATTTCAAAATGTTGTAGTACTTCCAAAACTCTCTGAGCGTTTTCTCACCTTCAGTAGCACCAACAGCCTGCGCGAAGGTCGTACGTAAATACGCCTTAAAAGCAGCAATAGTACCTTGATCCATGGGTTGGATGATAGAGGTAGTGTTCGGTGGAATGTAGACTACCTTAACATCAGGGTGCAGGTCGTCCAGGTGTGGTGGGTGTCCCGGAGCATTATCTAAAATTAATAAAATCTTCAACATAGCCCCTTGTTGCAGACAATACTCCTAGGCTCGTGAAATGAAACAACTCAGGAACCAATCCTCAAACAGTGCTAGGGTCATCCATGCTTTCTTATTACTGCAATAAAACACTGGCAGTGTGTGCTTGCTGACATTTTTATTAGCCCTTGGATTCTCTGAATGTTACACTGTATCATGAAGGGTTTTACCTTGAAATGAGCTACATTCCCCCCCAACAGAACTGTGATTCGATCCTTGAATGCCTTGAATCCCAGCATGGTTTTTCCCTCTATGTGGATGTATGTCCGTTCTGGCATGTGGTTCCATAATAAGCCAGTTTCATTCACATTAAATATCTGCTCAGGCAAATAATTTCCCTCCACGATGACACGATCTAGCTCCTCCTTAAAAGCTTCGGCAGCACCCAAATCAGCACTTGCTGCCTATCCATTCGCCTTTACACTGTGCAAAATGTACTGGTTCTTAAACCTTTGGCACCACCCATGACTTGCTGTGAAATTTTGGTAATACAGGTTGACAACCCTTTATCCGAAATTCCCAAAACCGAAAAGCTCTGAAAACCGAAATTATTTTTTGTGGAGCATTTTTTTTTTTTTTTTTTTTATTAGCTCACCCGGCACAGGTCACTCACCCACATCGCCTGGGGTGAAAATTTAATAGTAATAAATTGTAATAATAATAATGATAATACAGTACAGTAATAATAATAATTATTCACAGTAAATAAAAAATTTTAATAAAAAATACACATAAATGAAATAAGAATGATAATAATAATAATATAACAAAGAAATAAAAGAATGAAAAAAGATCAAAAGTGAGAAACACGACCTAGATCTGTGAATTATTATTTGTTATTATATTATTATTATTATCATTATTATTATATTTTAGCCCCAGGCCCCAATGTGGGTCAGTGACCTGTGCCTGGGTGGGCTGATCCTGTAAAAAAAAAAAAAACACCATTCTGAAAACCAAAAATTCCAAAAATCGAAATGCATCTGGTCCCAAGGATTTTGGATAAGGGATTGTCAACCTGTACTCATCATCTGCCTACTTTTTCAGGCTTTCAAAAAGGCTGCTTGCCTTAGCCTGTATGGTTAGAAGGCTTAAGGGTACACGCTTTTGCAGCCGATCTTCCATCCACATCACAAGAAAATTTTCCATCTCATGAATAGGACCATGTTTTTTTATTTTTATTGTTCCCTTTATAGGTGCTGATCCTTTCACTACCTCACCTAATTCGTTCCTTGTCCTTCAAAATTTTTATATCGTCGAAAGTGAGAGAAGCCTAGGTCGCAGGAAATGGTTGCTACCGTTTCCATTTTCTTATTGCATTATTATTTTCATTTTCATCTCAAAAGTAATTGACTGCTTCTTTTCTTCTGAGCACCACCAGCACTTCTCACTTTTACACGCACCAGTCATTTTAAAGGAATTAGTAACAAAAAATTTTTTCAGTACACAGCGATCACTAACACCAACGATGGCCAAACACCAACTGAGCGGGCTAGGCATGGATGCTGTACACCACGAGGCGCCCAGCCCACGCTGTCGCACGGGATGGAAACGTTTTCTGCACTCAGAAAATGCGAATTTGAAAAATATTTTATACGACGGCGGCGGTTGTATGTCCGGGTGGCAGTAAGTCAAGTAGGTCGTAAGTCGAGGAGTACCTGTACATAGTCTTAAGTTTATTGAGTACATCTTAATTATGTTGAGTACGGAGAACTTAATCTCTAAGAGTTAGATAAATGAATTCTTTGAGTATGATGACAATTTCTAGAGTAGTTTGACTTAAATTTATTGAGTATAATGCCTTTATTAAACCTTCCCTTTATTAAACCATCTCTTTATTAAACCTTCCCTTTATTAAACCTTCTCTTTATTAAACCATCTCTTTATTAAACCTTCCCTTTATTAAACCTTCTCTTTATTAAACCATCTCTTTATTAAACCTTCTTTATTAAACCTTCTCTTTATTAAACCTTTCTTTTATTAAACCTTTATTAAACCATCTTTATTAAACCTTCCCTTTATTAAACCATCTCTTTATTAAACCATCTCTTTATTAAACCTTTCTTTATTAAACCTTCTTTATTAAACTGTTCTCTTTATTAAACCTTCTCTTTATTAAACCATCTCTTTATTAAACCTTTCTTTATTAAACCATCTCTTTATTAAACCATCTCTTTATTAAACCATCTCTTTATTAAACCATCTCTTTATTAAACCATCTCTTTATTAAACCTTCTCTTTATTTAACCTTTTCATTATTAATTTATTTATTTTTATACTTTTCAAGGTAAAAAAAAAAATCTTCCATCTACTCAAAGGAATAAATCATTATACTCAAGGGGATGTGATTATTGTACTCAAGTGAATTAAATCATCACAGTACTCAAGGGGATCTAATCATCATACTCCAGGGATTAAAACATCATACTCAAGGGATTAAATTATTGTACTCAAGGGAACATAATCATTGATCAATTATTGTACTCAAGGGGGGTCATATCATCATACTCAGGGGTGTATTACATGATTATACTCAAGGGGAATCAATCATTGTACTCAAGCCATAAATGTACTCTTCGTTGTGTGTTGCTAATCTCTCCACACTCAATATTACAAGGTGCTGGCGACACACACACACACACACACACACACACACACACACACACACACACAACACACACACACACACACACACACACACACACACACACACACACACACACACACACACACACACACACACACACACAC